CATTTGAACCAATGCTACAGTATGTGAGAGCTCCCACATAGCATTGTGATCAGCAAACACCTCTGCAGCAACTGTTTCAAGCAGTTTTTCAAGTTGAGCAACTTTGGAGCAGAGTTTGAACTGGAGGCTGAATCATAAACACTGCCATGTACCAGGGACGGGGAAAGTTACTTGGATTCTTTTGTACGAAGAGGTAGTCATCTTATTTGGGATAGTGACTTCTGAATTGGAGGCAGGTAACGGGGGGCCCAGAGAGCAGCAGTGTCAACCTCCACAGTTGTCATGCAGGTTTTAACATTCTTCAGCCTGTTTGGGGACTGCAAATGAATGAGCAAATTGACATTGGCACCATGGTACAAGAAGTCGTTCAAGTGGGGGCATAACAAGGTGTATAGCATTAGTAGTGGATACTATAGTGAAGGACAATTGGCTCTGTTTTCTGTAGCAATGTGTGAGAGATCAGGTGGTTGTCTGCCTGCCCAGTGCCAGGCTTTGGGGCATCTGATCATGGCTGGAAAGGAACATGCAGTGAGAGGTGAAGAGTGGTCTATGTTGGTGCTAACGACTTAGCGAGAACCAGGACGTAGATTCTATATAGAGAAAATATGAAGAAATAGGGATGAAATTTAAAAAGCAGAACCTCAAAGGTCATAATATCTGGATTATTGCTTGAGTTGCATGCAAACTGGTATTTTAGTTCATAAATTTAGAGATGAACACATGGCTCAAAGATTGATGTGGGAGAATTGAGTTCCTGTTTGTGGGCCACTGGCAGCAATATGGGGGAAAAGTGGCTGCTACCTGGATCATGCTAGGATCAGTTTCTTGTGAACCACATAACTAGGGACGTAGGAAAGATTGTTGAATTAAATAAAGGGGTCAAGGGATCAAGCATGGAAAGATGTATATATCAAAGTGTAGAGACAAGGTAAAAAAGGAAGATAGTTTTATGGGAAATAAGGGTCAGCAGGATGGTACAGTGAAGGGGGAAAAAGACTGAAAAATACACCAACAATCAGGACTATGTTACAAAGATAGCTAAAGGACAAAACTAAAGGTGCCTATCTGCATTGCATACGTAATAAAGTGAACAAATTGATAGTGCACATTGATACAAATAAATAGAATTTGATAGCCATTATGGAGGTATGACTACACAGTGACAAGGATTGGGTGCTGAATATTGCAGGCTGTATGACATTTAAGAAAAATAGAAAGCTGGATAAAAGTGGAGCACTGTTAACTCGAAGATGGCATTTGTACAAAAGTTGGAGATTACCTTGGTTCAGGAGATCAGAACAGTAGGTGAAAGGAGTCACTTGTGGGACTGGTCTACAAAGCCTTAACAGTAGCAATGGGAGACAAAGCATCCAAGAAGAAATATTGGATGCTTGTGATAAAGGGCAATAATAATCATAGGTGACTTTAATCTACGTATAAACTTGACAGGTGTAGCTGAGATGAAGAATTAATAGAATGCTTTGAGAGAATTTCTTAGAGTAGCATATTTTGGACCTCACCAGGGAGCACGTTATATTAGATTTGATATTATGCACTGTGACAGGATTAATTAATGGCCTCCAAGTTAAGGCATCCATAGGTAGCAGCAACTACAACCAGTTTTCGAACTGGCACATAGGGTAGTGATAGATCAATAGAGACCTAGTGGCAGACCTAATAAGAAAGCATCTGAGAATAAGTACATTTCAACAATATAGAAGAAAATCTAAAGGGAACTCTAAATCCTAACCATCATTGTGGTTAATTAAAAATGTTAGGGAAAGCACTTAATTTGAGGAAAAACCAGACAACTGCATAAAGGTGAGTGGCATGTCATATGATTTGTCAGAACATAAAGAACAGCAGAGAATGCCTAAAAGGTGAATTGGGAGGGAGAAATTAGAGTATGAGTGGGAGCTCGCTGGTCATGTAACAATGGGTAGCAACAGTTTATACAGGTATTTAAAAAGGAAGAGTAAGCAACGTGAGTGTTAACCATCTAAAGAGTGAGAATGGGGAGTTAGCAGTGGATTGTAAGAAAATGGATGAAGTAATAAATAGTTATTTTGTTCTGTTTTCACAATAGAGATTAAAAAAATGTGCAGTCAGAGCTGTAATTCAGGGTGTGGAAGAGAAAAGGGAACTTGGTAAAATTACAATCGCAAGGGAAGTGGTATTAAGCAAACTGATGGATTTGCAGGCTGGAAGTTTTCACGTTCAGGTGAACTTCATCTTAGGCTCTTAAAACAGGTTAGTAAGGAAGTAGTAAATGCGTTGGTGTTAATTTTCCAAAATTCTTTTGATTTAGTTCTATCAGACTAGCATATGTAAGCGCTTTATTCAAGAAGGGAGAGAGGCAGAAAACTATAGGCCAGTAAGCTTGACATTTGTTAGAGGAAGGTGTGTGAATCAGTTGTTTAAGGGGATTATAGTTGGGCATTTAGAAACACTCAAGGTAATCGGGAAAGTGAGCCTGGCTTACCGAGATACAGTGAGATACATGTTTTGCATGTTGTCCGGACAAATCATACCTTACATATGTACATCAGGGTATAGAACAGAATGCAGAATACAGAATACAGCTACAGAGAAGGTGCAGAGAAAGATCAACTCTACTATATGAGAGATGATTCATAAGTCAGATAATAATGGAGGAGAAGCTGTTCTTGAATCTGTTAGTAAGTGTTTTCAAACTTTTGTATCTTCCGCCCAATGGAAAAGGCTGGAAGAGAGTATAACTGGAGTGGGAGGGGTCTTTGATTATGTTTGCTGCTTTCCTGAGGCAGTGCGAAGTATAGATGAAGTCAATTCATGGAAGAGAGACAACAAGATGTAGAGCAGGATGAACACGGCAGGCCAAGCAGCATCAGAGGAGCAGGAAGGCTGACGTTTCGGGTCTGGACCCTTCTTCAGAAAATTGGAGAGTCGCCGTTTCAGGGCAGAGATGAGGAGAAATTTTTTTCATTGAAGGTGGTGTGTCTCTGGAAATCTACGCCTTAGAAGGTGGTTGTGGCTCATGAAGTATTTAGAAGACCAAGTGAATAGATTTTTGTTAGGCAGAGGAATCAATTGTTATCAAGAGTAGATGGGAATGTGGAATTTGAAAGACAACAGATCATCCGTGATCTTATTGAATGGTAGAGCAGGTTCAAAGGGCTGAATAATCAACTTCTGCTTCTATTCCAAATAGAGTTGTTCAGCACGGAAACTGACCCTTCGGTCCAACTTGTCCACACTGACCAGACATCCTATTTGCCAGCATTTGGCCCATATCCCTCTGAACGCTTACTATTCATGTACCCACAGCCTTTCAAACGTATGTCCTGTATTGTGATTTTCATGTCGTTGGGCTCTCTCAAAGGGTATCATGGCTACTGAAGTACTTTTAAAAGTGTAATTATTGTTGTAAACTGGGCAAACGCAGCTACCGACCGGTGTTCAGCAAGATCCCACTGACATAAATAGGATAAAGGATTTGAGCATTTGCTTTAGTGCTGACATTTGGGGGCAGAATATTGCCAAAATGTTTTTCTGGAAAGAAAAGAATTACCTTTTTGGATGGATCATGTTTTCTGAATCCCAATCAAAATTGTTAAAATGTTTATAGGCCATGTTTGAGCTTTGTTTAAATACAAGCTTAATCACTATAGTTTGTTCATTACTTAACTAGGCCTGTTGCCAAATTAACACTGCTTGAATATCTTGCAGCACCAGGCTGATAGTCAATATGTTAGACCATAGGACAGTTGGGTTCAGACGTATGGTTTCTATGTAGTGAATTTCTGAGCTTAATTGAAACCTATGTGGACATGATAAACTGTTTCCCACAAAGAAGGAAGGAAGCAAGTATTGATATCTTTGGGTTCATATGCATCTAATTTTGACTGGGAACTCGGTTGCTTTCCCGTCTGTGGAACCAGTCAGTGATGCAAACTTTGGTGATCCCTTGAAGGTGGAGAAAAAGCTGACGGAAGTACAGATAATCCAAAGTTTCACTTGAATTCAATATGTTTTCTTCTGAGTAGGCTACGTGCATTAATAGAAAGCTTTGTACCTGTATCGCATGTTATCTTGTATTTGATAAATGTTTTTGTTGGGAAAAACCCTAAAAGAAATGTGTAACTAGCAAGGCTTTACAAGTACCAAAAAGATAAAAAGTTTGTGTGGTACTAATTACGTGATGACTGATGGTACAGGATACTGCGAGAACTCTGCTTTTCCTGAAAAAATGCAATAGATGTTTTAACCTGAATAAGCGGGTGGGGACACTTGGCTAAACTTTGAGTCCCAATCTTATAAATTGTATGCAATTTTACTCCATAATCTTCTGAATCAAAGACAAACTTCACACTTAACTGCATTGATGACTTCTGGTTTTGCACAGAATATAGTTATTTCGAGGAGACCAATGTGTTGTAATTGTATGGTTTGATATTGATGATAACAATTTAGATTTAAGTTTTATTTTGTCTATTATTTCACCAAAAATGCTAACCTGAAATAGAAGTCTCCTAACTGTGTGCAACCTATTTTGTTGCTACAGATTGTGAAACCAACTCATAAAGGAAGAATCTTAATTTTATAATAATTGTTACAATCATGGAAGTGAACTGTTCTAATTGTTATGGAGAAAAGCTTTTTCTGATTCAAGGAAAAATTAAAAGATGTTTACATAACTTTAGTTCACTGTGACTATATTGTACTTTTGAGTTGCAGAATAGGTTGTCAGTTAGCATAACTAGCTTGCTTTAATCCAGAAACCACAGATTTGCACATTCAAGGTGTTTGACTTGATGTAAAGCCAGAAGAAACTAAGATGGGTGAGTCCCACACATGATCATTGTTAGGTTCAACCTCTGGTGCTCTGCCAAAACAGGTGTTCCAGGTTCAAGCTTATACCTCTGTTTTCTGCAGTTATGTGAGAGAGAAAATTGCTAACTAATTAAAAATGCTATCATGCTATGGAAGAACCTCCAAAAATTCTTTGTGTTTATCAACAGGTACAGTACAAAGGCCAAATCCAGTGACCTAATTCACTAGAAGGATGGAATCTTCCAGTAAAACCCACCATCACCCGGTGATTACAGCAGGTTTGTCTGTGGGTGAGGAACTGGCTCTGGACCCGCTGGTGACATGCAAGCTCTGCCTTTGTGAATACCCTCTTGATGGAATGACCACTCTGGAGCAATGCAACTGTTTCTTCTGCACCATGGTGAGTGTGCTCAGCAAGGCATTGTAACTGGAGGGTTTATCAGAACTGAACCTGAATGGAAGCTTTAAATGATATCACTATAATTTTGATTGTGTTGGAAGGATTTACCTTTCATAGAGATCATAGGGTCCCTACAGTGTGGAAACAGTCCCTTCGGCCCAACAAGTCCACACCCACACTCAGAGCATCCCACCCAGACCCATTCCCCTATAACCCACCTAATCTACACACCCCTGAACATTATGGGCAATTTAGCATGGCCAATCCACCTAGCCTGCATATCTTTGGACTGTGGGAGGAAATCGGAGCACGCAGAGGAAACCCACGCAGTCACGGGGAGAATGTGCAAACTCCATACAGTTAGTCGCCCGAGGCTGGAATCGAACTCAGGTCCCTGCTGCTGTGAGGCAGCAGTGCTAACCACTGAGCCACCGTGCCGCCCTTTGCCTTTTAAACAGTAGTTCTTCCATAATACCATAAATCTCCACACTTGCATTTTTGCAACTTAATATTTTTATGCTCTCTTGGCTAGACTTCCGTTATTCTGAACTCGGTAGGTACATTTCAAACTCCGAGCAGGTACTGGTGCAAGTTAGAATAGAGGCATTCATTCTTACTATGCTTGTTGATCTACGATGGCTCCCAATCAACTGATGCCACATTTCTTCTTAAGAGATTCTCATTTATATTCACATATATAAATGGAGAATCAATGGCCTAGTGGTATCATCTCTTGACAATAAATCCAGAAACTCAGCTAATGTTCTGAGTACCTGGGTTTGAATCCCACTATGTAACGTGGTGGAATTTGGATTCAATGAAAAATTTCTGGAATTAAGAATCTGCTGATGATCATGAAACCACTGTCAATTGTCCGAAAAACTCATCTGGCTCACTAACGTCCTTTAGGAACATCTCACCTGGTGTGCCCTTTTTGTGCCTACAGACTCACAGCAATGTGGTTGGCTCTCAACTGCCCTCTGAAATGGCCTAATGAGCCACTCAGTCATATCAATTGCTACGAAATCTCAACAATGAAATGAAACTGGTCAGACATCTGGCATCAACCGAGGCACCAGAAAAGACAATGGCAGAAACAGCCCTGTTGATCCCTGCAAAATTCTCCTTACTAACATCTTGGAGCTAGTGCCAAAATTAGGAGAGCTGTCTCGCAGATTAGTCAAGCAACAGCTTGATTCTGATTCTGTGAATATGATTCTGCGCATATGACCATGTCTCAGACATCACTATCGCCAACCCTGGATATGTCTGTCCCACTGGCAGAGCAGACCCAGCAGATTGACGGCACAGTGGTATACAGTCGGAAAGAAGTTTCCCTTGAAGTCCACAGCATTGAATCTGGACCCCATGAAGTCTCAAGGATTTACATTAAATGTGGGCAAGGAAACCTCCTGCTCATTACCATGGACCATCCTCCCTTGGCTGATAAATCACAACTCCTCGATGTTGAACAATGCTTGGAGGTGACACTGAGGGTGGCAAGAATGTAAAATGTACTTTGGGTGGGGATTTCAGCGTCCACCTCTAAGAGTGGCTTGGCAGCAGCATCACTGATTGAGCTGGTCAGATCCTAAAGGACATAGCTGCTAGACTGGGTCTGTGACAGGTGGTGAGAAAATCAATAAGAGGGAAAAGCATACTCAGCCTTGTTCTTGCCAGTTTGCTGGCTGCGGATGCATCTGTCCATGATAGTATTTGTAGGAATGAACACTGCACAGTCCTTGTGGAGATGAAGACCTACCTTCACATTGAGAATAGCCTCCGTCATGTTGTCTGGCAGTTTCACTGTGCTCAATGGGACAGACTTAGAACAGATCTAGCATCTCAAGAGTGGACATCTATGAGGTGCTATGGGCCATCAACAGCAGCAGAATTGTACTCCAGTACAATCTGCAACCTCATAGCTCGATATACTCCCCCCTTAACCATTATCATCAAGCCAGAGGATCAACCCTGGTTCAGTGGAGAGTGCAGGAGCAGCGCTAGGCATACCTAAAAGTGAGGTGTCAACCTAGTTAAGCTACCAAATAGAACTACTTGCATACCAAGCTACTTAAGCAGGCAGAGCTAAACAATCTCACAATCAACCGATCAAGTCCAAGCTCTGCAGTCTGCCACATCACTCATGAATGGTGGCGGGTCATTAAACAACTCCTTGGAAGAGGAGCCTTCACAAATATCCCATCCTCAATGATGGAAGAGCCCAACGCATTATCCACTCAGCCTCCTCCAGTGGAGCCCAGCATTTCAGATACCAGTCTACAGCCAATTCAATTCATTCCACGTGATATCAAGAAACGGTTGGAGGCCCTGAATGCTGCAAAGGCTATGGGTCCTGACAACATTCCTGTGAGTGAATTTTTTTTTTTTTAAAAATTGCTCTGTGGCCAGACACTGTTGGCAGACACCAGTTCCCTTTTCGGTACATCACGTACAAGTATCCGGGAATGCTATCATCCTCCAACATATGCAACCCCGAACTCCTTTACTTGACTTCTAGTTACCTGGCTATCAATTAACTAGTTGTTAATTTCAGGAACTCCTTCTCCAAAGTGCTGTGTTCCTCCCGCTTTAAAATTTGAATAAAAACCTGTCTGTTTTGATCACATGCTTGCTCACCTGTCCTATAGTGTGTATTCCTTTTGTTTTGGTGTCAATTATTATTTCATTTTGTTCCTATGAGGTGTTTTGGTAAGGTTTTAGTTATTTGAAGGTGCTTCATTGTTGAGAAACTAAAATAGAACAGAATTTCCTGACTCCTAAATTTAGATTTGGTTTCCTTTTGACCACCAGGGGTAAACCTTAAATAATCTGCAGAAAATGCTATAAATGTGCAGCAATTCACTCAGCATCTGTGAATGTTTGCACCTTCCTTTAGAACCAGGTGGAATAAAATACCCATCATGTTTGAAGAAAATTGATCTTTCTCATAGAACCCAATCACTTGAGTTGCATGTGTTATTGTATTGCTGAATAAGTTGCAAGATGACATTCTCTTTACAATCATTTTAATACTGTATTCAGTACTACATGACATAGAGATTGCGATCAGTATTTTTAACTATTGCCTTCAGCTAATTTGTATTTCATTAGAATGTCACATTAAATGATAAAGTCCAGGGTTCATTGATCGAATAAATATGCTAATGCTCTGTGACACCAAGTAACAGTTGTACTTACTCTTTTTTCAAATTATGTTTCGACTCATCAGTGCTTAATGCGCTACGTAGAACTAATGATCAGAGAAGGTTGTGGATCTCCTATCACATGCCCAGAGCTTGGATGTCCTAAAAATGGAGTCTTGCAGGATGCAGAGGTAAGAATGCTTTAAACATTATTGACCCAAGAAATGCCCTAATTGGTGGCCATGGGGAGGTGGGAAATGCACCACTAACTGGCCTGAATTAACAGCCTTTGTTGTGGCTGCCTTCTGCATAGGGTCCTTTTTATTTGTTTTGTTTTAAAAAGAGGACCTTTATGTTGAGTAACTAGGACAAATAGTGAGCTGAGACCAGAGATAGGACAGGTAAGAGTTGAAGTTGCCATAGCCATACCAAACCAAAGGGTTGCTATCCCATTAGAAAGGTATAGAGAGAGAGAGCTGGTGTAGTAAAAGGATGATCACTCAAATGTTATTAATTTTCAGTACTTCTTTGTCCAAGTGTTCACCTTTTTGTATTAAATGATGCATTACTCCCACCCTGTTCCCATCAGGTTGGTGTGGGTCATTTTAAGAGAGCTGTAATGATCGCCTGGCTCCGTGAACATTTTGGATCAGCAGATGAGCTCTTACCAAGCCTCCTAGTTAGAGGTTGGAAATTTCAATTGCCCCACCGTCACCTGCTCTCCACCCAGCCTTGGAAAATTTGTCTGTTGGGAATAAACCAGCATCTTATTATCTTCCTGTGTACTTTCTGTCTTGATTCAGCATGGGGAAAATGCCAGCCCTGGCCACAGGTTACCTGTCTATTGTAGTGAGTTTTAATTAAAAATGAAATTGGATAAGTATAAGTAAATAAATGTGAAGTCATACATTTTGGTAGGAGTAATAGTAAAAAGGGTTATTACTTGAATGGTAAAAAGTTGCAGCATGCTGCTATGCAGAGGGACCTGGGTGTCCTTGTGCATGAATCACAGAAGGTAGGTCTGCAGGTACAACAAGTAATTAGGAAGGCAAATGGAATTTTGTCCGTCATTGCTAAAGGGATTGAAATTAAAAGCAGAGAGGTTATGTTGCAGCTGTACAAGGTGCTGGTGAGGCCACACTGGAGTACTGTGTGCAGTTTTGGTCTCCTTACTTGAGAAAGGATGTATTGGCACTGGAGGGGGTGCAAAGGAGGTTCACTAGGTTGATTCTGGAGTTGAGGGGGTTGGCTTATGAGGAGAGACTGAGCAGATTGGGATTATATTCATTGGAATTCAGAAGATTGAGGGGGGATCTTATAGAAACATATAAAATTATGAAGGGAATAGATAAGATAGAAGTAGAGAGGATGTTTCCACTGGCAGGTGAAGCTAGGACAAGAGGGCATTGCCTCAAGATTAGAGGGAGCAGATTTAGGACTGAATTGAGAAGGAATTTCTTCACCCAGAGGGTTGTTAATCTGTGGAATTCCTCACCCAGTGAAGTAGTTGATTCTACTTCAGTAAACGTTTTTAAAGAAAAGGTAGATATTTTTTTGAACAATAAAGGAATTAAGGGTTACGGTGAGAACGCGGGTAAGTGGATCTGAGTCGAGGAAAAGATCAGCCATGATCTTATTGAATGGCGGAGCAGGCTCAAAGGGCCAGACAGCCTACTCCTGCTCCTAGTTCTTATGTTCTTATGAGCAAGACAATGATTGAAATACTGAGTGATTTCCTAGGAAGTGACTTTGAATGTTGAAAGACTACATGAGTAGTGACGTGTCACCATGTCTGATCCACATTGTTGTGAGTTGGATTCTTGTGGTATCCAACTGACTGCAATAGAGTAATTTCATTTTTTTTTGGACAAGAGGGAAATTTGTGGAGGGAATCTTATGGACGCAACCATGTGCTTCCTAGTGTCGTGCTTGAGTTTAATTTTGCTTGCTTGCTGGTAATAGGTTACTTGTTTGCCTGTTCACAGGGTGATAAAAGGCTAAGAATAAAGGTTGGATTGACATAAAGTTTTGGGGCTAATTTCAGTACTCCACCTAACAATGTAACATTTGCTACCAGACTCTGAAAAGAGGGGCCTGTTGTTACTATGCATGAACCTTCGTTCATGAGTTGAGACAGGAGTCTTTAGAAAAGAGTAGAATGTGTTCCATATCAGAGCGCCTGCAGCATATTTAGTTGACAGCTTGATGCTCCATTCCTTTTAGCCTGCTGAAGTATCTGATAAATTCACTGCATGCAGTCTGAACCAAGGCTGCTATTAATAGAATGTTTGACTTGCCCTGTTATTTTCATTTTTGGCTACTTTGACAGCCAACCATTTTGCATTATGTCAGAATTTTCATATCAATCAAATTTAGTTAATGCCACTTGTCTTGTGCCTGCAGATAACTAATGCCAAAATCTTGCTTCGTGTTAGAGTGTAGGGGAGGGGCGTCACTGGCTGTCCGTTTATTAGCTTCTGTCGGTTTCCTCTCCGGTCTTCACATCCTATCAAAGAAAAAAAACATCTTTTGGTTTTTGAATTCAATAAAGTAAAACTACAAGTATCAAAAAAGAAAATGCATGGTTGGCAATTTTGAAACATTAAGGGAGCAACATCCATTTGTTAATCCATTGGAATTCTGAGGTCTATTTGTTCTTGAAAGGTGGGTTTTCTTCCTGCACTGCAGACTAAATTTTGCTCCTGAGTCAGATAGGCAATGTCGAGAAAAATGCCAATCCAGACACTGTGGACTTATTTCAAGAGAAACTGCCCTGAAACCACTACATGTTTGCTCAGCTGGGGGTGTGGGGGAGTTATATGTATTGTGGCAGGCCTACAGAACCTCGGAGTCTGTCAGAGGAGCTTCCGAGTACTGAGGTGAGTTGGCTAGATGGTCTAGCTCTGTGCTCTGAAATTTTTTCCTCCAGCTGTAGTAAAATTAATAAGGACTTCCGGTTCTCACCCCTCAGACCCCCCACACCCCATCCATGCAACCTCATTGGCCCCCAACCCCCATGGTAACATGCGTTAGCCCAGGTGCCATGTCCTACAATTTTTTCAATAATCTCCTGTGTGAGACTTTTTTTTTAAAATTGAAACGCTCCTGAAGATACAGATACATTACATCCACTGGTAACATTTTATCTATTCTATCCTCCAAAAACTCCCAACATGTTAGCACGATTTCCTCTTCATAATCCATGTAGGATGAGCCTGATCCTAGTGTCCAGTAATCACATTCTTTATAATAAACTTTGGTATTTTCCCTAATGTCAGGCTAACAGGTCTGTACTTCCTTGTATTCTCTTCCCCCTCCTTACTGGAATACTGGGGTTACACCGCAACTTTTCAGTCTGCATGAATGTTTCCAGAATCTATAGAATTTTCGAAGCTGATAGCCAATGAATCCACTATTCTTGAGTTACTTCTTTCATCGCAGAGCAATATAGTCAGGCCCAAGAGAATTATCAGCATTCAGTTCCGATAACCTCTGCAGTACTGCTTTATTACTAACACTAGTTATTTACAGTTTCTCATTCTTGCTCATACCTTGGTCTGTAGTATCCCTAAGAGATTTTCCTTCATCTTTCTCTGTGATGACAGAAACAAAGTTGTTTAATTTCACTTCCATTTCCTTATTTCACATTATAAATTCTTATAACTCTGCTTGTAATGGGTCCATATTTGTCTTTGTTAACCTTTCCCTTTTCACTGCACGAAAATTTATTATTTGTTTATTGTGTAAACTGGATTTTTGGCAATTTTTAATTCATGGAGAATGTCCCAATGTTTAGGGATAATGAACAGGTTCTGCTCTTTAAAATGAACCTATAAATTTCACTACGTGTCCCTTAATAAGGTGGTGTCTATGGAAAATCCCTTTTCCCTTGCTCTATTGTAACAGCTCTCAAAGGTTAGTTGCAATTTACTAAGCATCCACAAGCCTTAAGTGTGCCACTCGACTGTGGTTTTGAGAAAGTTATTTTCAAAAACAAGTGTTACCTGCTCATTTAATTACAAAATAGTGCTCAGTGAAAGATAACAAGTGGAGAAATTAGAGAAACTGCAGTTGCGTTCTGTGACAAGAGTAATGACTGCATTATATAGCAGCTATAATGTTGTAGGACATCCCACGGACTTTGTGTTGTCAAACAAAATTTAACACTGAATCCCATAGCAAGATATCAGATCAGATGACAAAATTCTTTATCGAAGTGGATAGCTTTAAAGGTGCATCTTAAAGACAATGAGAAAGATGGAGAGATGGGCTGGTTTGCAGAGCAAATTCCAGAGCTCAGCAACTGAAGGCACAGTCACCATTAGCCAAGGATGTGCAAGTGCCGAGACTAATTTTAATGAAACAAGGGGTACATCAGGTTCCAAGCTATCGACTGTGATGGGAGTCTGTCTAGTCAGAGGCACAGACAGATGTTTCCGTGGCCAACAGTGAGAAATCAGAATGATGTGTTGCCTCCCTGGCGCCAGGATCAAGGATATCTCAGAGATGGTGTAAAATATTCGCAAAGAAGAGAGGGAGCAGCAGAAGGGCATCGTACACATTGGAACAACATCGGAAGAGAAAAGGACGAGATTCTGAGGAGAGAATATAGGAAGTTAGGCAGGAATTTAAAAAGTAGGAACTTGAGGGTAGTAATATCTGGATTAATCCTGGTGCCACGAGCTAGTGAGAGTAGGAATAAGAGGATAGAGTAGATGAATGCATGGCTGAGGAGCTGGTGCGGGGAGAAGGATTCACATTTTTGGATCATTGGAATGTCTTTTGGGTTAGAAGTGACCTGTATAAGAAGGACAAATTACACTTGAATTGCAAGGAGAGTAATGTACTGATGGGGAAATTTGCTAGAGCTGCTCAGGAGGATTTAAACTAGCAAAGGGATGAGGCAGGGAGAACCTAGGGAGATAGTGAGAAAAGAGATCGGTCTGAGACTGGTGCATTTGGGAAAAGGAACTAGTCAAACAGTCAGGGCAGATAGGAACAAAGCAGAGAACAGGGTAGGACTGATAAATTGATCTGCATTTATTTCAATGCAAGAGGCCTGACAGGTAAGGCAGATGAACTCAAGGCATGGTTGGGAACATGGGATTGGGATATCATAGCAATTACAGAGAAGTGGTTCAGGGGTGGACACCACTGGCAGCTTAATGTTCCAGGGTATAGATACTGTAGG